GCAGACGGGGACTTGGCCGGTGGCAGCCGGCTCCGGCCGAAACATCGCCGCCCTTCCAGGATGACCCTTTCTCAGCCGGGCCTCCCCTCCAAGACGGGCCAGTTCGGAGCTGCACTGTCCCGCAGGTAGGTGGGATCCCTCTGTTCTGTTTGGAAACCAGGGATCCTTGGGGGTGGGTGACGGGGCCTCGCCACACGGAGGCTGGCCGGTGGAACTGGCAGCCGCAGCCAGCACCCGGCCCTCTGTGCCCTGTGCGGGATCCTCGCGGGGGTCCTGTGGGGGGAGAGACCCCTTCCCGCCCCGTCAGCGGGGGCAGGGCGAGCGGCAGGTGCCTAAGTGGGGTTTGGCTCTGTGTGTGGGGTCACGCGCTCTGGTCGCAGACTTCTCCCCGGGATGGGCCCAGGCCTCCACGTGCAGAAATGCCGTCACCGGAACCCACCCAGGAACATCACCCAGAAACGGCAGGTGTTGTTTGGGGAGCCTGAAAGATGGGGTTGGGGGCAAAGCAGAGCTTAGCTTCGGAAGCTCCCTTCCCCCGTTGTGGGGCCACACAGGGCAGGGGGTGGGACTGGGCTCCCTGCCCAGCCTGCGGGGTCAGTACTTAGTTGGCTTGTGCTCCTTTGTCCCCTTGCACCTGTGCGTGGTCCCCTGCAGCCTGGGGTGCCGTCGGCAGCTCCCAACAGGCGAGGTGGCTGGGTCAGGAGCGTGGGTGCCTGCAGCTTGGCAGGGCGGCCTCCGTCTGACCCCCTGTGTCCCAAGAGGTGACCAGGGTCCAGCGGGCAGGGTAGCAAAGGTGCCTGGAGCCGCGGTGTGGAGCCACAGCCCGGGCTGAAGCCACTGGCTGGCCGTGTGACCTCGGAGTGCCACTGAAGTCCCTGCGCTTTGGTCCCCTCTGAGGGGCCGTCACGTGCCTGGGTGGGTCCGAGGAAGGAGCCGGGCGGGACGGGGCGGGCAGAGAGCGGGTCGTCGGGCAGGATGGCACCACAGTGTCTCCACCTGTGAGCTGCGTGGGGGCAGATGAGGCAAAGGGGAGAGTGCCGAGGGGCCCGGGGGCCAGGGGGCAGAAGCCACGGGAAGCAGATCTCAGACAACCCAGGAAGGGTGTCTGTCATGGGTTGAATCGTGTTCTCCAAAAAGAGGCTGGAGTCCCAACCCCCAGGACGAGTGACTGTGACCTTATTTGGAAACGGGATGACTAAGTTTGTGTGAAATCATGAGGGTGGGCCCTGGTCCAGTGTGACCTTGCCCTCGCAGAAGAGCCGCTCTGCCAGAGACCCGCACGTGGGACAAAGCACGGGAACGGGGGGCAGAGATCAGGGTGGTGGGTCTACGGGCCAGGGAACGCCACAGCTCGCCAAGTTAGAAAATGACAAGGACACGGGGAGACGGCCACCCAGGAGCTGGGAGCCTGCGACAGCTTCTGTCCCCCAGTCCCAGGGGGAACCAGCCCAACTGGCCGAGAATTCATTTCTGTTGTTTAAACTGTGTGGTCTTGGGAGCAGGGGCGGTGGGAGGGGTGCATCCAAATTTGGAGGGAATTCCTGTCCTGCTCTGAGGGTCCTGGACAACCCACCCCACCCCGCCACCCGTGCCTAAGCCCCTGCCTTTCGTGGTGGGAGCAAGGGCTCCCTGGAACCCCCCGTGGGATTGGAGGACAGGGACAAGGCGGAGCGTGGACCCACCCCCCTCTGCAGCTGCAGGGGCTCGGGCAGCCCCGGTCTCTCCAGCTTCCCGCCCCCACCCTCCACCCTTAGGGGCCGAATGAGCCTGGCAGCTGGACTGGGAGCCGGGAGCCTGCAGGGACCAGGTCCTGAACCAGGATGGAGGCAGCCCGCGGCCTGGCAGCTGCTTCTCGAAAGGCTCCTTCAGGGGCGCCTGGGTGGCGCAGTCGGTTAAGCGTCCGACTTCAGCCAGGTCACGATCTCGCGGTCCGTGAATTCGAGCCCCGCGTCGGGCTCTGGGCTGATGGCTCAGAACCTGGAGCCTGTTTCCGATTCTGTGTCTCCCTCTCTTTCTGCCCCTCCCCTGTTCATGCTCTGTCTCTCTCTGTCCCAAAAATAAATAAACGTTTGAAAAAAAAAAAATTAAAAAAAAAAAAAAAAAAAAGGCTCCTTCATTTAGTCTGCGAGTATTTACCGAGCTCCTGCTTACTGTGTGTCAGGCAATGTTTTAGATGCTGGGAATTGGTGAGTAAAAGCGACCAAGTTCCTTGCGTTTGTGAAGCAAAGTCAAAAAGGTGAATCACAGAAAGTTGTTAAAGCCTAAGGAATCAACAGGGAAGGAGAGGAAATGCCAAGTCTTTGGGTGACCGGGCGCAGCTGCACGGAGGGGGGACGGTGGTCGACTCCCTAAGCGAGTGCAAGCGGGGGAGCCAATCGAAGAGACAGCTGGGCACGCCGGGCAAGGACACGTGCGGCCTGTGCAAAGGCCCCGTGGCAGGAGCATGCCGCGTGGGTTCCAGGTAGAGCAGGGAGGCCGCGTGGCTGGAACACGGCGAGGAAACTGGAGAGAGGCAGGAATGCGGTAAGCGTGGCCCTTGTAGGGCTTGAGCTGCTGCTGGGCAAGATGGGCCGTGAAGCGGGGTTTCGGCCGAGGCCTCGCCTGCTAGCTGCTGGCCCGAGAACCGAGGCAGCGAGATGGGGGAGGAGCACGTAGCTGCGGTAATCCCAGTGAGGCGGTGGGCTGAGACCCACCCAGGTGACACTGGCGTGGGTGGGGCACACGGCCACCTCCCGCGTGTATTCCGAGGGCACTGCCGATGACCAGGGGCGGAGGGTGAGGCCGCTGGGGCGCTAGCCCGTGTTATCAGGACGGTGGCATCTCCCGGACCCAGGACAGGAGCAGGGGACTGGCCTGGCGGGGACAGACGCTTGCTGGTGCCCAGTGCGCTGGGGTCCGTGGCAGAGGCCCAGTCCGCAGGTAAGAGTTGGGAGCGGCCAGCATAGACACGGAAAACCAGGAGGCGGGACGGGGTCAGCCAAGGAATTCGGGAGCAGAGAGGTCAGAGCACAGACCGGAAGACCGGGGCTCTCGCGGAAGAGAGAAACTGGAAAAACCAGGTGAGCGGGGGTGGGGGTTGGGGGTGGGGGGTCCCGGAGTCTCCTCCAGCAGGAGGGCCAATGTGTCACCCGCTAGGTCTGGCCACAGGAAGGTCACTCCTGACCCTGAACTGGGCAGCTCCAGGGGAGCAGAGGCAGCCTGACCAGAAAGGACCCCAAAAGGTGAGAGGAATATAAGGAACTCAGAACAAGGGGGCTCTGAGACCCCAGCCAGGAGGGCGAGGGGCTCCCTGGGGGCCCCGGGGCTGAGACTGGCCAGGTTTCGGGGGCGGGGAGGGGTGTGTAGGGGGTGGTGAGGGATCTTGTGGCTGGGGGTCGGGCAGAGCGGCCTTGAGTTCTAGGCCCCGCCCAAACCATGTGATTCTGGGCCAGCCTGGAAACCGGACAGGACTGTCGGGGACCCCGGCCTGGTGGCCCAGCCCTCCCCCGTCTCTGGGCACATCGCTCAGTCCTGGGGCTCCAGTCGGCCGTCACTTCGTATCCGATCCCACCCTCGGCCACATCTGGTTGTCCAGAGCTGGGTTCCTCCTCACCTGACTGAGCCTCCCGGAGGCCCCTGGAGCTAGGACGTGGGGGGGGGGGGTCTGGCTCCCCAGTTTGGCCGCCCTCCTGAAAGGCCAAGGACTAAGCCCCAGGGTGGCTGTGGGACCTCGTGTGGAACAGAAAAGGCAGGTGCTGTCGATGGGCGGAGAGAAGCAGGAACCAGTGAGGGAGCGGGGTCCACACCGCACAGCGCCCGGCCTGGAGGGTTTCTGCCGCTGGACAGCCTCCGCCTGGTCCCAACAGGTGCACCTGCCACCTCTGGGGGGTGCCCACGAGCTCTCTGCTGCCCCCCTCCCTGGGGGTGGGCCCGCGGCAGGACCCCGCCGTTCCACTCCGCGAGTCTCCCCGCCCCATGTGCCCCCGGAGGCCTCTCTGCCGACGGCATGGTAACGAGAAGCACACGGCTCTGAAATCATCAGTTGCGTTTAATGCATCGTACAGAAGGAAAGCTACACGGGCATATTTAAGACAAACACTTTTCTCTATCCTCACTATGCACTGGACGGTCCTCCTTGGTCCAAAACGCTACGCCTCGAGACACGTCGGCAGCTACCCCTCCCGGGTCCAACCTCTCACATCCTCCCATTACGTTTTTTTTTTTTAAAAAAAAATGGAATCCGATCCATCCAAGAAGAAAAACGAACCAACAGAAAGGAACCTGAAGACATTTACATCGCAAGCCACGCGGTGACACACAATTGGCATTTAGAGTAACCAATATAGAAGACGTGTGTCTCACAGCTCACTTTGTTCATCAATAAAAGAATATAAAAATCTTGTTCAACCCAGTGTTGAGTGTATTAAAATAGATCTGTATCGTACAGCACAGTTTCTCCCGGAGTCGAGAAAATGACAGGAGGGACCACGGCAGCCCGTGGGATTCTGGCCAGCCTCCCTGCTCTGCACTCGTCGGCGTGCGCGTGTGCGTGTGTGTCTGGGGCCGCGTGTGCACGCACGCACGTGTGTCCGATGCAGCGCGGCACCGTGTGATATGCTGGGGTGGGAGCCCTGTGGCTTCCCCGACGCCTATCCCGTTGTGCTAGGCCCCTCGGGACCGGAGAAGCCGGAGGCGGGGTGTGACGACCCAGCCCAAGACTCGGGAGCCCTTTTAGGACGGCGTCCTCCGCTCTCACTAACTCAAGGAGGCAGCGAGAAAAGGGACCCTCGAGTCTCCAAAGGCCAAACCCTCCAGAGGCCACGGCCCCCTCTCCCTCCCCACCCTCTCTCCCCGCCCCCCAGCCTCCTTCTGAAAGAACCCTCTGGATCTCTCCAGGTTGGGAGTCCCCCAGGAAGGGCTTTTGCATTCGTACCTTGCAGCTGAGACTACCGTAAGCGGGAAAAGAAGTCCGCAAGCATCCCCCCTTCACATTAAATAGCTCACAATAAAAACGCCATACAAAAATGTAAAGTTATTTTTTGGCATAGTGTCTGTACTGGCAAGAAAAGAGGAGTGGAACACTTTATCGGCTCTTCGAGGGGAGAAAGGAAAAGGCTTCGGTCGTTAAGTTGAAGGATTCAACCCCAAGTAGAAAACCTGCCACGTGCCTCCCCTGCGTGCCTGGAGCCCAAAAAACTCCATGAGAAAAACACGTCGGCGGCAAAAGGAGTCCAAACGATCAGCTAAGGGAAGGAGCCTCGGGGGCACGCGGGGACCCTGGCAGGTGGGTACCGCAGCGTCCCTGGAGGGACCCACAGTGTAGTGTCTTTCAAGTTCAACAGCTGTGACTCTTAACGCTAATAATACTGACTGACAAGGGCCCGCGATCCGGAAGGCGCTGGAGCCCTGCGGCCTCGAGCCCCGAGCCCCGGGCCCCTACCTAGATTCGCTACCCACTGCTCGTCCCAACTACCCCTACTACTCAGCTAGGTCCCCGGCTCCCCTCCCAACCTCCTCTGCCCTTCTCTCCCCCGGGGGGCAGCACGAGGCCGGGGAGACAGCTGTGCCTGGAAGCCAGGGGCCCGGGCCAGCCCCCCAACGGCCGGGGGACGGACTGTGCGCCCGGCCGTCTCGCGCCCACCTGGCCTCCTGGGGTCCCGTCCGCACGTGGAGGGTAGGACTGCATCCCAACCCGTCCCGGTTCCTTCTCCCCTTCTTTCCTCCGTCTCTCTCTCTCTCTCTCTCTCTCTCTCTCTCGGTCTGGTTTTAGTTTCGTCTGAAATTCATAGTGTTTATGAATTAAGGCGGACAGAACCCTCAGGTCTGGTGAGCGGGGTCCCAGGAACCTTCCGTGGGTGTGAAGCCGGTCCCTCGGGGTCAGTTGTGCCCCTGGGGCTGCTGGAGGGCGGGGTGCATGGCTGCTGCCGAGGGCTTGGTCCAGGGCCCGGCCAGCAGCGGGGCGGGGCCGGTGGTCGTCATGGCAACTTGCAGCACCTGCTCGCCCTGTATCAGTCTCAGGAGGGCCCGCAGGCGGTCCAGGGATGTCTGGGTGCCCCTCTGCCGGGCCAGCAGGCTCGTCTTAAGCTCTAGGCATTTCTGTCAGGGGGAGAGAGGGGCAGGGGGAGGCTCTCAGAATTCAACCGTGCAGGCGTCCTGGGGGCCGCCGCCCTCTCGGCCCCTCTCCCCCCTACAGCTCCTCCCCTCCACTGCGGGGGCCGGAAGGACGCCGGCCAAGGGCCTCCCGCAGCGCACGAGAAATCCGTTTTAGAGTTCAGGGCTAGAAACGGCGTGCCTGTGCCAGAGCGTGGAACGTTCTCCCTCGTGGCTGTGGTGCTGCCTTGCTGACCACGTCTACCCCTCCTCCTCCGGGAGGAAGCTGGGGCCGGTTCAGCCTCAACGACAGCCCCTGCAGGAGACCTACGGATTGCCAGCCCGCTCTCTGCTCTGCTCCCACCTGCCGTGCTCTTGCCTCTTGGTGGGCTCTCTACGTGTCACGTGCGTAAGGCAGCCAGGACGGGCACGCAGGCTACAGCATCAGCCATCTGCTGCTCGGGGAAACCGCTCCTACCCCCTGGAACTGCGTCCCGACTCCCAGATAGGAATGATCAGAGAGCCTCTGCCCGGGCTCTTGAGAGATTAAATGAGATACCGCCTTTAAAGAGTTCCACTAGGGCCTGGCACCGCCCTCGCCACCATTATCCCCTCCACGACCTCAGCCATCACCACCACCACCACCACCATCACCATCGTCACCACCACCGCCACCATCGTGGCCATCGCATCATCACGACCACCACACTACAGGAGAGAAATCATCGCGTTCACATCACGCGCGAAGCGCCTGAGGCTCCGAGAGCTTTGCCAAAGTCCAAGAGCCAGGAAGGAGCCCCGAGCCCAACCGCTCAAGACCTGAACGTCGAGCGGATCAGAGCCGCACTCTGCCTCGCGGAGCGACGCCGGTGAGTCCGTCTTCTCCTGGGGCCTCAGGGACGGGACAGCGAAACCCTGGCCTGGTATCTCGCGGCCGTAAGGTCCCCCAGCCCCCTGCCCCGCACCCCCAGCGCACCTTCACCGCCGAGGCCAGGCGCCGGTCACACTCCTCCAGCTGCCGGAGCTCGCTCTGTAGCTCGCTGCCTCTCTGTCGCAGCTTCTGCTTCTCCTCTACCTTGACTAGGAAAGAGAAGGCCAGGTGAGCCAGCGAGCTGGGTGAGCAGAAAGGCCGGGCCGTGGGCGAGCGGGAGAAGCACGGAGAACCCGAGCCTACATCCTCCCGCAGAAGCCAGTGGCCGTGGCTGAGGACACGGGGACCGGAGATGCTCCCCCCCCGCTCCCACGGTGATGGCCCTGCACGCCGCACCGCTCCCAGGGTCCCTCTGCGCAGAGCCCCGGCTAGGAATGGCTGCGGACGGGCCCAGGGCGAGCCCAGGGGCCTGGGTGGGGTGGGAGGGAAGGGAGCAAGACTGTCTTACCTGTCTTGTGGGTGACGTAGGAGTGCACAATGGCCAGCATCCCGGACCAGGGCACGCCACTGTCTTTCTTTAAGGCCTAGAGGGCAGATGGGGAAATCAACAGGCAGACGGGCCAGGGCCTGCCTCGGTCTGGCCGCGCAGCGCTGGGGGGCGGGAGTGGGGGGGAGCAAGGCTCCCTGAGCTGCAGGTTCCTCAGCTGGGACGGGAGGGAGCCCGTCCCTCCTGCCTCACGGTCTGGCTCCCAGAGCTCCCCGAGGACAGGAGCCTGCGTATCGCCAGGGCCCCAGACGGTGCCTGCGGGGAGGAGGTTCTGATTTTTCCTGAATGAATGAGTATGTGAACGGCCACTGGGGTGTTCTTCCCTTGTGCCGGGCAGCCCCAGGCCAGCCGGGGGGGGGGGGGCAAACCGAGTGCCCGGTGAGGCCCCACCATCATGCCGAAGCGGGGAACAGAATCCTGTTCCCTCTGTCTTCCTGCAAAGAGCTGCGACCCCCGGGCAGTCCCAGTGCAGGGGCTGGTGGCACAGTGACATAGGGCCCACTGTACCCACCCTCTCCCTGGTTTATTCTGCCTACAGTTTTTCTCAGGGAGCTGATGATTCAACTATACAGCTGCTATGAAGCCTAGCGTTCTCTTTTTTCTTTTTAAACCTAATTCCATACGGTGAACAAGTCCAAAGAATCACAAAACCTTTGCAAAGATCATTTTCAATGACCACACAACATCTCACTGAGTGCACCCACTGGAATTAATTCCACTATCTCCTGCTGCTTTGAAGTAGGCTGTGTCTTTCCTTTGTAAGTAAGGGGCGAGGGGCTTCTTTGTGCCCAGAATCCTATCTGTATTTGGATTATTGCTTTAGACTGCGTTCCCCAAAGCTAGATTCTGGGTTTAAAAGATACGCACGCTTTTGAGGCTCGGACAAAATTCTGCACCGTCTAAGAGTGCCTGACTCACCACATCGCCACCGGAAGGGAGTGTTACTGTTTTTTTTGAACCTGATTGGTTTTCATTCGTGTGTCAGCAGGGAGATGGGACCTGCTAAGTAGTGCTATCGTTGTGGTCTGTGTTATCGGTCCAGCTCCACCCGGGAAGGAGTTTTGAGGCCAGAGCTGGAGTCACTGGGTCGTGCCGAGGCGGAGAAAGCCTCTCCCACGCCGGCCCCTCTGGTCACCCCTCCGCGGCCCGACCCGACCCGACCCCAAAACACAGTGTGAGCAGCTGCAGATGTTGTGCGGAGGGTCCCCGGGTACGGGGAGAGAGGCAGGGCGGGGGTGGGAGGGCCGGCCGCCCCGCAGCGCAGCCTCCTTACCTTCTGCTGGCACTTGGGACACACCCACACGCCCTTGGGCGCGGTCTTGAGGGGCGGGTCCAGGCAGCTGAGGTGGTAGGCCCCCGGGCAGGTGCCGCAGGGCTGCAGATTGGCCCCTTGCTTGCAGGCGGCACAGTGCTCATCGTGGGTGATCTCATTCTGAAAGAGAAGGGGGGGCGGGAGGCGGGTCAGTGGGGGGTGAGGGGTGGGGGTTAGGGGGTCCAGGTCAGCTGGGCTGGGAGGGAGCCGGACCCAGCTTCCGCCAGCGTTTCTCAGCAGCTCTGGGAGAGAGAGGGATAAGCCCGGAAGCCGGGAGGAGGAGGCGGCCAGACGCGGGACTCTAGGGCATCCCCCAGGCCACGTTCACCAGGGGTGAGGGTCAGGCGGGTGTGGCCCCCGCATGAGACCTGGTCCCCAGGTGCAGGTGGCGGGGCAGGCGGTCCTGCCGTGGCTTGGGAAACGGTCCCCCTCGGGTCCACACTGCACCCCACGTCGGGGGGGAGGGGCCGGCCAGCGCTCGCCACGCGTCCCTCCCACACGGTTTTCCTGCACGCGCTGCCTCGGGAGGCCCGGACTCACGGCGCTCTCCGGGCCCCTTGAGGGAGCCGCAGCCCGACCTGGCACCTCCGGCCTCCCGTGTGGGTTACCGCGCCCCTGTTTCCGCCTCTGTAACGTGGGCTAGCGACACCCGCCCCCCGGGCCGACTCGAGAGGAGAGGGCACCCCAAGCGCAGTCCAGAAGGCCTCCACTTACACACCTGCAGGGACAGGGGGCTCACTGCCTTTCCAGCCAGCCCGTGCCCGGTGCCCGGCCCTGACCGAGAGAGGAGCTCTTCCTAACGCCCTGCTTCCCGTGACCTGCAAAGTCTGAACGGTTTTCCACCACCCGCTAGAAACCCTTCTCCGTGCCAGCGACGTCGCTTCTCTACCTGTGTGTCAGCGGCAGCTTCCGACTTTAGAGCTGCGAGGGACCAGAGGGCTCCCATCGGGAACGACCCAGGCCACGAGGACCCTGGAGCCCAGGCCGTCCACGAGGGAGGGGGTAGCAGACCAAGGGCCCAGGGAAGGTGAGCCACTCGCCCGAGACCACTGAGGGAGCTGGAGACAGAAGCAGGGCCAGCATCGGGGTCTCCCGCCTCGAGGCCAAGGCCCCTGCGGGACTCTGGGGTCTGCAGAAGCGAGGCTCAGGCTCCAGGCGTCTCCTGTGCTCACGCTGGTCGGGCACAGGTGGCTGTGGACAGGCACGGCAGGCCACCAGCCCTGATCCGTGATGCTACAGGGTTCTGGTGGCAAAAAGCCCGGAATAATTGGAGTTTATACCCGTCACCTGCTGCTGCTTAGTGGCTTGGCCATTCTAGGCATGTAGGGACTAGAAAATTCTTTTAGGACGAGATCCAAGACTTACTTAAAAAAAAAAAAAAAGCCACTAAATAAATTCTGAGGCCATGCCTGCACATGAGGTCACGGCCAGCCTGTGTCCTGGGAAGCAGGGACGTGGTCTGTGCACGGGGGGATTGGGGTCTCACAGGATCACAGAAACGGAGCCGTGAGGGCTGAGACCCTGGGGGTTATTACTAAGTCTAGACCCTCGTGAGGTGGACAGTGAGAAACGGAGGGGACCCACTGCACCTAGCGTCACACTGGGGCCGAGAAGAGCCAGGTAGGGCCCGGCTGGCAGCCCCGGGATCAGCTGCCTCCACCTGGGCCTCCTTGGCTCCCGGGGTCCCTGCGTCCTCAGCTCGTGCTTGAACCCTGTGGGCTGGCCCTGGGGTGACGCCTAATGCACCACACGGGCTGGACGACGGCTGACGTGTTGTCGCAAAGCTCTCGGCGCTGAGGACGGAGCCTGCAGCCCCTCTACTCGGCTCCCGCCTGCCAGGAGCACCCACACCTGGACCGTGGAAACATGCCCCACCCCGCCCAGGCGTGACAGCGAGGGGACACGTACCTTCCAGCAGGGGTCCTCATTGGCTGGCACAGGGAAGAAGGGCGGAGAACATGTTAGTGGGCATTGGAGGAGCGCCGATCAGGACTGGAGGCCACGAGGCCCAGTATGGGCGGGGGGTTCTCACCCGGGACATGACGGGAGCATCACTGGACCCGGGACACCTGGGTCTCACCTGGGACGTGACGGGAGCATCACTGGACCCGGGACACTTGGGTCTCACCCCGGGCATGATGGGAGCATCACTGGACCCGGAACACCCGGGTCTCACCCAGGACACTTTGGTCTCACCCGGGGCATGACAGGAGCATCACTGGACCCGGGACACCTGGGTCTCGTCTGGGACGTGATGGGAGCATCCCTGGACCCGGGACACCCGGGTCTCACCCGGGACACTTGGGTCTCACCCGGGGCATGATGGGAGCACCACTGGACCCGGGACACCTGGCTCTCACCAGGGACATGACAGGGGCATCACTGAATCTGGAACACCTGGGTCTCACTCGGGGCATGATGGGAGTATCACTGGACCCGGGACACCCGGCTCTCACCCGAGACACTTGGGTCTCACCCAGGGCATGATGGGAACACCACTGGACCCGGGACACCCGGGTCTCACCTGGGACACTTGAGTCTCACCCGGGGCATGACGGGAGCATCACTGGACCCGGGACACCCGGGTCTCACCCGGAGCATGATGGGAGCACCACTGGACCCGGGACACGACAGGAGGACCACTGGACCCAGGACACCTGGGTCTCACCCAGGGAGTGACAGGAATAAGGGTCTCTGCCCCGGTCATGGCCAGGACCCACCGTGGGACAGGCAGGGAGCTGCCCAGGGGAGGGACACATCATTCCGGGAACCTCTCAAGGTGATTTATTTTCGACTGTTTCTTCCCCCCCATAACCACCCACCCTCCTTCCAGTAAGCGATGCCAAACCACACATTTAATGATCACAAAAAGTGGTTTTCCTCTTAGTTTCTGGGTCAGGGCTGTCCGCACATAACGCCGTCCAGGGGGAAGCTCAGCTTCGGTGTGTACGGGACAGTTTACAAACCGCGGTCACATCCGGCCCTTACGTCGTCACCCAGCTCGGAGTCCCGGCACCGCCACCCGCCCTCCTCCTCCCTACAGACGACGACAGGGCGAAGGGGGCCGGGGCGTGGCGCTGGAACGCACCATCCGCCGGAAACAACTGTCCCGGCCGCGGACGGGCCAGCCCCGCCCCACGGAGGCCAGGAGCGGAGGGCCACCAAAGCCACCAGAGCCACCAAAGCCGACCTGGCCCCGGCGCCACAGCGGCCGCGGCAGGAGAAGCCACGCCCCGCAGGCACTTACCTCTTGCTGTGACGAACAGGGGGCTGTTGAGATAGTTGGATGCCAGCCGTTTCCTCTGCAGGGGACACAAAACAAAAGAAAAACCGTCTCGCGGGGAGCCCTCCTCAGTGACCCTGCCCCTGCCCAGGGCGTACCCGGGACAGACTCCCCACCCAGGGCTCCAGAGGCAGAAACGGGGACGGACACCGGGGCTGCAGGGCAGGGGAGGGGCGGGCTGGCGTCAGCAAGGGCTCTGCCCTGCGGCAGGCGTGGAACCCAGGCCCGCTCCCCGCCGATACGTCCGCCTCACTCGGGAGGGACGAGTGGGGGACCCCGAATCGGGGCCAACCAGTAACAAGCAGCCACCAGGTTCCCCGTCCGTCTGCCTCCTGCACCTTGTCAGCTGGCTCTGGGGTCAGTTTGGGAGACGAGGGTATGAGGGACTCGCTCCCCAAACCTCACTTCTTGGCACGGGGCCCAGGAACCCTCGGTACAGGGTCGTCCCCGGCACCCAACATCGTGGAGACGCGGAGGCTTCCGGTACGTTCCGAACGGCGGCTTCAGCCACAGGCCGAGAACACACGACCGACTTTGCACCCGCCTCCCCCGTCGCGGTGGGGCTGTGCTCAGAGCCAAGGGCGAGGCCCCCGTGGCAGGGCCGCTCGTGGAGCCACAGCACAGATGTGTCCAGGGCTCAAGGGTCACGGCTGGGAGGCGGCTCCTGATTCCTTAATCAGGTCATCTCTGGCCCTGGCCACAGACTGGGGACACTGGGGTGTGGCTTCGCGCACAGAGCGGGGGACGGTTTCATCAGTGAGCACGGCAAAGGGAACGGGGCCCTTTGGTCCAGACAGCGGTCAGCACCTCCTTGCGTGGAGGTCAAGGAACAGCTCAGTGACATCCTTCCCAAAGGGCGCAGTGCTCGGGACACCACGGACCGGCTCGGGACATCTGGGGGGGGGGGGGGGGGGTCCCTCCGCAGGTGCAGAGGGCGGGTCCCTCACCTCAGTCTCCAGGAGGCCGCTGTAGGCGGGATTGGCTGTGCTTCTTCTCTTCCGCTCTTGGCGCTTGCTCTGGATTTCTGGAAAGACACAGACACAGCACTTACTGGATCCTTCCTGTCCCGGGAACGCCGAACGCTTCCGCTGCGAGCCCCTGGGCGGCCCCGTCCCCTCCTGCCCCGCATCCGCGCCCCAGAGTGGCCCCGGCACGGCTCCCTCTGGGGCGGACAGAGGTGCCGGCTTCCGGCTGGAGGGTGAAAGGTACCCACCGACAGTGCTGGTCCCCCGGGTGCCATCCCCCAGCCCGGAGCCGCCTCTCTCACGAACCCTGAGATCATCATAACCCGGGCCGAGGTCGGACGCTGAACCGACCGAGCCCCCCCAGGCGCCCCCAGGAGGGCTACTTACAAAAACCGTAGTAACAGTCACGAGTCTATCAGCAAAGCACCGTTAACGCAGCCCTCACACCTGTTCTGGCAAGTTGTGCGGGCAGCCACCGAGGCAGGGGGAGCCGGGAGGCTCTCCCTCTCTCTGTGCTCACAACCTCCGGCACTTGGGACACACGTCCCAGAAGGGACTGCCGCCCCCCCCCGCCGGCTGTCACCCCACGGTGCAGGCCGGTCCCAGCCCAGCCTGCCGCCGTGCGGGGTCCTTACCTTCCAAGTGCTCCGTTGTGACCAGGCCAAGAGCTACCATGAAGGCGATTTTCTAAGAGAGGGAAACGGAGAGGCGTTACCACCACCTTCCACGTCTTTCCAGTCATTCGACAGATTCGACAGGAGCACCTACTCATGGGGCTGGCTGATCTGTCTCGGGTCTCCTTCGTTGCTACCTACGGTCCCCTCTCTGTCCCAGGACCCCATCCAGGATCTCCCGTTGCACTCAGTTGCCGTGCCTCCTTAGCTCCTCTGGGCTGGGCCGGATTTCTCTGGTTTTCTTTGTTTCTGATGGGGACAGTTCTGAGCTTGGGCTGGTCAGGTGTTTCAAAGGATGCCCCTCAGTTAGGATTCCGCCTGATGGTTTGCTCATGGTTAGACTGGGCTATGGGCCTGGGGGAGGAGGACCACAGAGGGGAAGTGTCCCGCCAGCCCATCATATCCAGAGCACGTGTTATCAACGTGACTCAGCACTGTGACGTTGCCCTTGACCACCCGGCTGAGGCATCGGTCGGCCTTCTCCACTGAAAATCCCTTTCCCCGTCCACGCTGTCCTCATTGGCAGGAAGTGGCTGGTCACCACTCACACTTAAGAAGCAGGGAATTGTGCTCCCCGGTGGCCTTTTTTGGCCACGTAGACTAAAAAAAAATTTGTACGTAGTAGAATTTAGCAGTATTTTCTTTTTCAGCGTTTCGGTTTTTGAATCTTAGCTACAGACTCTGAGGTTGTAAACCAAGTTGCTTATGTTTTATTTCAGTATTTGTAATTTCACTGCTTACTTTATTTTATTATGATTTTTTAAGTTTATTTATTTTGAGACAGAGAGAGAGAGAGCAGGGGAGGAGCAGGGGGTGGGGAGAGAGACTCCCAAGCAGGCTCCACCTGTCAGCGGAGAGCCAGCCCAACACGGGGCTTGAACTCACGAACGCTGAGATCATGACTTGAACCGAGATTAAGAGTCAAGACGCTTAAACGACTGAGCCACCCAGATGCCCCTATGATTTTTTCATTTTTTAATCTTCATTTATTTTTGAGAGAGAGAGAGAGACAGAGTGCGAGCGGGGGAGGGACAGAGAGAGAGGGGGACACAGAATCCGAAGCAGGCTCCGGGCTCCGAGCTGTCGGCACAGAGCCCGACGCGGGGCCTGAACCCACGAACCGTGAGGTCATGACCTGAGCCGAAGACGGAGGCTTAACCGACTGAGCCACCCAGGCGCCCCTATGACTTTTTAAGAGGAGGCTCCCCACCCAACGTGGGGCTTGAACTCACAACCCCGAGATCAAGAGTCACAGGCTCTACCGACGGAGGCAGCCAGGCCCCCCTCACTGTTTACATGCAGGTTTATGAGCCGTTGGGAACGTATCCTGGCGTGAAATGCGGATTCCTTTCAGTCCACATGGCTACTACTCACTTGTTCCAATACCATTTATTGAAACTTCCATCTTTCTGCTTTTCACTGGTTTGAGGAGCCACTTGAATCATACGCTAAATGATCACTCGTACCTGTGGTCACTTTCTGGGCCCCCTGTTCCGTTCCTACCTGTTCGTGAGCTCCCGTGGCACCGTGTCCCTACCTTGGCTTTACAGAACTCTGGCGAGATTAGGATCCTTTTCTCTGTGTTCTTCCTGTTCAGGGCTCTCCGGTCCTTCCTGCTTGTTTTTTCCAGGTGAAATTTACAAACCATGAAGGAGCCGGAGGGAGCCCCTTGGCAGCTTTTCTGGGATGATGTCAAGACGATAAATTAACGTAGGGCGGGGCGCCTGGGTGGCTCAGTCGGTGAAGCGCCCCACTTCAGCTCAGGTCATGATCTCGCGGTCTGAGTTCGAGCCCCGTGTCGGGCTCTGTGCCGACAGCTCGGAGCCTGGAACCTGCTTCGGATTCCGTGTCTCCCTCTCTCTCTGACCCTCCCCGAGTCACACCCTGTCTCTCTGTCTCTCTCTAAAAAATAAACATTAAAAAAATTTTTTTTTAATGTTTTTTTTTTTTAACGTTTATTTATTTTTGAGACAGAGAGAGACAGAGCATGAACGGGGGAAGGGCAGAGAGAGAGGGAGATACAGAACTGGAAGCAGGCTCCAGGCTCTGAGCCATCAGCCCAGAGCCCGACGCGGGGCTCGAACTCATGGACCGCGAGATCGTGACCTGAGCTGAAGTCGGACGCTTAACCGACTGAGCCACCCAGGCGCCCCTAAAAATTTTTTAAAAAATTAACGTAGGGCATAATGACAACTTTGTGATACGCAATCTTCCCCCCCAAAACCGTGGTGTGCCTCTCTCTCTGTTCCTCTTCTGCCTTCGGGGGTTTAAACTTACCCTCCAGCGGGGTTTGACTGTTGTCAGCGTGTCTGTCCCTAGATATTTAATCTTTTTGTTGCTACTGTAAATACGGTTATCTGTAAGGCTTCTAACAGGCTGCTCTGTGTTTCTGTTGACGATTATCGATGTTTTGCATTAATACTAAACCCCGCTGCCTCTACAACTTCTGTCTGCAGATTTGTTTTCTTATCATCGATTCTCTTGGGTTTTCCAAACATTCCAAATAGTGACTGTTTACTCTTCCATTTTTTTTACTTCTGTGCTGCTAAAAATAGTTCTCCCCCTCCATCTGTCAGCTTTACGTGATATTCTTTGATTCACTGAAAGTCTCGGCTACGACGGAGACTCCCCCGGAACTCATTCTGCCTCCCACCTTCTCTCACGGCCCCCCCACCCCCGACGCTACGGAGATGAAGCATTTGTACGCGATCGGAGAATGTCCTACTTCAGTTCTGACCTGACATCCTTACCCTTTTCGTTTCACCCCGCGGCTGAGTTTTGGAGCCGCCCGCCCGACGGCTGGTGCCAGAGGGGCCCCGGTCTCCTCTGGGCCGGTGGGGGTCGAGCCAGGCCCACGGAACAGCATCTCCCGAGTCCTTAGCAGATTTAAAACCTATCTGGAGGGGGGCGCCTGGGAGTGGGAGGGGGGGCTCGGTCGGTGAAGCGACCGACTCTTGATTTCGGCTCAGCACGATCTCACGGTTCGTGGGATCGAGCCCCGCGTCGGGCTCCGCGCTGACAACACAGAGCCTGTTTCAGATCCTCTGTCTCCCTCTCTCTGCCCCACTCTCGCTCTCTCAAAAATAAATACACATTGGGGCGCCTGGGTGGCGCAGTCGGTTAAGCGTCCGACTTCAGCCAGGTCACGATCTCGCGGTCCGTGAGTTCGAGCCCCGCGTCAGGCTCTGGGCTGATGGCTCAGAGCCTGGAGCCTGTTTCCGATTCTGTGTCTCCCTCTCTCTCTGCCCCTCCCCCGTTCATGCTCTGTCTCTCTCTGTCCCAAAAATAAATAAACGTTGAAAAAAAAAATTAAAAAAAAAAATAAATAAATACACATTAAAAAAGTAATAAAACCTTCCATGCAGATGGAGGCTTCCAGTTTGAAGGCCAGCTTGGCAGGACATAAAACCCTAGGCTGTTTCTGTCTCTCCTCAGGATCTTGTCGCAAACTCATGAACCGTGAGACCATGACCCGAGCCCTGAGCCGAAGTCGGACGCTCAACCGACTGAGCCATCCAGGCGACCCTTGCTTTGCTGGATTCTGGACTCAGATGCCACTCGGGAAAGCCAAGGCCTGGCTGTTTTCCCTCTAAAGTGACGTGACTGCTTCTGCCCGGACGCCCTCCGGATCCCGCAGGGACCTGCCGGGTCGCGTAGCAGGTGCACACGGCCATCTTCCCCGGTGCCTGGTACCAGGGCCACAGTCCGCGTGATGTGTGCATAAGTCTTCTTTGATTTCAGTCAACTTTTCTTGAAGTATATATTTAAAAAATTTTTTTAAGTTTATTTATTGAGAGAGAGCGAAAGAGAGAGCGCACGAGCAAGCATGTGAACAGGGGAGGGGCAGAGAGAGAGACGGAGAAGGCCAAGCAGGCTCAGCGCAGAACCCCATGGGGGGCTCAATGTGACAAACCGTGAGCTGAGCAGAAACCAAGGGTCGGACGAGCCCCCCAATTCTATTTAAAACACCACGAAGCACCTCCACCCCATGGAAAGGAGGGCCTGTAAATTTTATTCCGGAAGGTGTGGGCTCACGTGAATGCAAGACTTACAACGTGATTAACGTGGCCGTGCACCCTCCGGAAAGGGGATTGTGGGGTCCCCCGGATGCGGCCGACAGCGGTCCAGGCTGTGGTCTGCTGCCACCTGGTTTGAGTGCTGCTTCGGGGCCCTGGGGCTGGCCGCACGGTGGCAGGGACTCTAGGGACCCCCCTCGGTACCCGCACCCGCCTCGCGGGCCCCACCTGAGCGAACACCACCAACGTGGAGGCCAAGCTCCCGCCTCCTGGTGCCCCCCACGCGGCCTCCCCCTGCCGCCACCCCGTCTTCCACGGAAGGTAACTCGAGCCACGGTCACTCGAGGACGGGAAATGGCAGCCAGGTGCCCGCCACGATACAGCCAAACCCCCATCACCGCGGCTGTCGCGGGAAGTGTCTCTTCGTCTGTCTGGCTCCGTAATCCTGGTAGGGCTCCCCGAAGCTGCCACTCCCGTCGTCATATCCTCTCTGCTGGTCTTCGAAGGGATCATTCTTTTCCTTCTTTTTAAAAATATTTTTTCAGATGTCTTTTATTTTTGAGAGAGAGAGAGAGATACAGAGTAGGAGCAGGGGAGGGGCAGAGAGGGAGGCACAGAATCCAAAGCAGGCTCTGCGCTCCAAGCTGTCAGCACAGACACAACGCGGGGCTCGAACTCACGGACCGCGAGATCATGACCCGAGTCCAAGTCAGACGCTTAACCGACTGAGCCACCCAGGCGCCCCCCATACTTTTTTGCAACTCTGTGCTACATCCCTGGTGGCATATTCCAAAGCACTAATTATCTCCGTTCGTCCTGTCTAGTAAGTTTTTTATGAAGTTTATTCGTTTCTTTTGAGAGAGAGAGAGAGAGAGAGAGCATGTGTGAACACTTGGGAGCAGGGGAGGGGCAGAGAGAGAGGGACAGAGAATCTCAAGCAGTCTCCACCCTGTCAACGCAGAGCCTGGCCCGGGGCTTGAACCTACGAACCGTGAGATCATGCCCTGAGCCGAAATCAAGAGTCGGACACTCAGCAGACTGAGCCCCCGAGGCGACCCCGTCCAGTAAGACTCTTAATTTCCACCAATCACCATGTTCTTCATCACCAAGATTTCCAAACGGGTTTTACATTCACCTGATCTTGCTTTAACTTTCATGACATCGTTTGCCCCGTTATTTCTTATTTATTCCAAAAAGGGGCTGTTATTCCCTTTTTTAAAACACAAACTTGCCCGAGTACCCCGTAAACAAACTCGTGTGCAAGTCGTGGCTAGACGATGCCACAAAACGAAGTCCATCTTGAGGAAATTCACGTTCCACGCGTGGACTCTGTCATACTCCGTGGACCGCGTCACGTGTTCCAGAATTCTGTCCAGACTCATCTTGGGCACAGCTCCCCCTTCCTGTTCTGTGTTTCCGTTTTTCTCTGCCTCCCTCCTGCTCGCCCCTCTCCCCCTCCCTCCCCCTCCCTCCCTCCCCCTCCATCCCTCCCTCTCCCTCCACCTCCTGCTCGCCCCTCCCTCCCCCTCCATCCCTCCCCCTTCCTCCACCTCCTGCTCTCCCCTCTCTCCCCCTCCCTCCCTCTCCTGCTTGCCCCTCTCCCCCTCCCTTTCCCTCCCCCTCCATCCCTCCCCTCTCCCGCTCCCTCCCCCTCCCCAGGTGCGGCTGTGGCCTCAGGCTCAGGTTGGCTCCTTTCCTTCTTGAAGAGCCTATGGGACCCACACTGCCAGGTGTGAGCTTCCCCCCCCCTCCCCTGCCCTCCTGGTGGCCCTCACCCGATTCCGGCATTCCGGACCTGCAGCCCGGTGGCCCTAGGCTCCTGCTCACTGCTTGGGCATCTGGGACCCAGCACAGCGGCCTCTCTGTTGTCTCTTCCTGTCACCGGCTAGTCCCCAGGACCTGGCCTTTATTGCCCACCTGCTCGTACCCACAAACGTCTTACATTTTTCCTGAAGCTCTCCCTTCCGGCTTAGCTCTTAAACTCAGGCAAACGACACCCGAAACCGGCCCTCAGGTGATGGCGACTGTCCCGTCAAGACCCGGCCCAGACCTCCAGGCCGTGACAGCCAAGCCCCCACCTCGTGCCTGCGCAGGTGGACCACGGAGTGACGCTGGAATGACGGGCAATCGCCTGAGCCTCAATATGATACCGAAACCTCCCCCCGGAGGAGCCTCAGCCGCGTTTACAGGACACGCACTGGGTGCACTGGCAGCTTTCGTCAAGGCGCCCTGTCTCCCTACGATGACAAGCCTTCCCTGTCTACTCATCCTGACCCTAAACCAAAGGCACCCCCCCCCCCAACCCCGGGCAGTCACTGTCCAGAGCTATTCCAAAGCTGACTTTGTGTGCCAACTCCGCCTGGCGCGCCTGTGACTCCCCACGAAACGAACTCGCGTTGGTCCCATGACGTTCCTACACTTTTTCTGCCGTTGTTGTGGGTCTGCTGCAGGGGGCTACCTCCAAGTCGGAACCCTGAGCCGCCCCGGATCGGTTTCAAGAAGCGGGGGGTGCCTTGGTTATTTCTGAAGTTTAGAAAGATCCTTCTAGCTACTGGGAGGACAGACAGGGAGGAACCCGTCCAGGGGCAGGAACGGGGGCCGTGGTGACCCGGACGGCGTGGGCATCTGTGCGCACGGGTCCCGCCCAGGGAGGTGGCCGCAGTCAGGGCTCATGCGGGGCTGGGGCCCCTGCAGTCCTCGTGCTGCTCTGAAGGCGGCCAGTCTCAGTCAGGTGCTGCCCGAGGCCAGGATGACGGGCGGCACAGGCAAGGCCACAGCTGTGTCCTAAAGGTGGCCGTGGGCCTCGAGACAGGGCCGAGGGGAGAGAGCCTTGGAGTCATTCCGGGTGCCGGTAAACTCGGCGTTCCCTTCCCTTCAGCGGGGCTCCGGGCTACAGGCACCCTGGGCTCGCTCGTGCAGCCCCGGGAGCCTCCATTGCCACCAGCCACCCCGGACGCCAGCCCACTCCTCCGGCGAAGCTTCTGGGGCAGGGGCCGCCCTGGCCTCGGGAGCTCTGGACTCGGGCTCTTGGTGAACGGGCTCAAAGGGCGCCACAGAGCCCCGCATCGGCCGCGCACAACCGCTCCCAGACCCCGTGTTATAAAAAAGAAAGTTTAATAAGGATTTTTACGCCGGGACGTGTTGTAATTGCCAGTTCTATTTAAGTCATTACACGTATTTACGCTAATTATGTAGTTAAATGTAATTATACTAATTGTATAAACGCACAATAACCGGGTGAGATATACTTTGAGGGAACACAGAGAATCCGCCCGGAAAACCTCCAGGAAGGCTGCGGGTCCCCGTGGGAAGACACAGGGGCGCGGGCAGAGGCCGGCCCGGGGCTCACCGCGCACGCAGCAGGTGCGCAAACGTCACGGAGGGACGGAACGGAGGGCCTCCTGAGACAAATCGGGCCCGGGGCCCACAGAGGACAGCCGGTTATCTCAGCCTCAGTGAATGGTCGACTCTGAATCGAAGCTACTCCCAAAAAGCCAATGGGCTTTCTGGACACGCCAAAGGACAATAATGAAGTCACTCTCCCGCTCAAGGATATTCCATGGCTCCCCACTGCCCAAGGAATGAAGTTGCACCACGGCAGCCAGCATGCAGGCCCCCCAGGGTCAGGCTCCAACGTCTCTCCGACCCTGGGTTTAGGGTTTTCTCACGCACACGTGCCACCTGAGGTCCAAGCAGACCCGCTGGCTTTCCTGGGCCTGCTAAATGCCTTCTCACATCCACGAGATTGTGCAAGCAACGTCCTCTGCACAACACGCTGTCCCTCCTGCCTCTGCCCCGCCCCTCCTCTGCAAAGCCTCCCTCAGTCGTTCCGGGTGGAAACACACGCTCCTTCTCCCTGCACCTCCCACTGCTCTGAATGTGAGCTTCTCTGATGGCACCTGACATTTAAAAAAAAATTTTTTTTTATGTTTATTTATTTTTGAGAGAGACAGACAGAGAGCAAGCAGGGGAGGGGCAGAGAGAGAGGGAGACACGGAATCCCAAGCAGGCTCCGAGCTGTCAGCACGGAGCCCGACGTGGGGCTCGAACCCACGAACCGCGAGATCGTGACCTGAGCCAAAGTCGGACGCTTAACCGACGGAGTCACCCAGGCTCCCCGACACTTGACACTTTTTAACCCAAGCTGAAGTCCTGGTGGTCGTGCCGGGAGGAGTGAGTTCCCCCGGGGCCAGGGCTCCAACTGCCCCATCTCCACGTCCCTACCCTCAGCACGGAGCCTGGCACGGAGCAAACTCTAAGACATGTCCGAAGAGTAAGTGAATGAACGGAAGAAAGGCTGACTTCTTTTGATAACGACAGCCCGTTGATTTAAAAGAATCGTAAGGGCTCAGGAAATGACAGATGTCGGCAAGGATGCGGAGGAGGCACCGTTGGTGGGAATGCACGCTGGTGCAGCCGCTCTGGAAAACAGTATGCGGGAGTCCTCAAAAAACTGAAAACAGAATTACCCTACGACCCAGCAATAGCGCTACTGGGAATTTACCCAAAGGACACAAAAGTGCTGATTCGAAGGGGCACATGCACCCCAATGTTTACAGCAGTATTATCAACAACAGCAAAGTATGGGAAGAGCCCCGAGTGTCCATCGACGGATGACTGGATAAAGATGATGTGGTGTAGACGATGTGGTATATACACAGACACCGTGGAATACTACTCAGCGATGGAAAAGAATGAAATCTTACCATTTGCGATGACGTGGGTGGAACTGGACGGTATTACGCTAAGTGAAGTAAGTCAGGCAGAGAAAGACAGATGTCATCTGAGAAACTTACAGAAGACCATGGGGGAAGGGAAGGAAAAATACGATAAAAACAGAGAGGGAGGCAAACCATAAGAGACTCTCAGATACAGAGAACAAACAGGGCTGATGCGGGTAGGGGGTGGGGGGGAGGAGGAGGGGAAAATGGGCGGTGGGCACTGAGGAGGGCACTTGCTGGGGTGAGGACCGCGTAGTGTAAGTGACGAATCGCGGGAATCTCCCCCCAAAGCCAAGAGCACGCTGTGCACACTGCATGTTAGCCAACTTGACAATAAATTATGTAAAGAACAGCAGCAACAAAGAAAGAATCACAAGTTGCTGTAGGAGCCCAGAGGGATCTCTTCTGCCCAGTGAGGTGAGGTGGTCAGGGAAGGCTGCCTGGAGGAGAGGATGTCTGAAGTGAATCTCATCGGACAAACAAATAGGGGAGAAAAGGGGGGTCAGGTGAGGGTAGCCGCATGGAAAAAGGCCCAAAGGGTTGACTTTGGCCCAGGATGGCCGAGGACAGAAGCAGTAACACAAGAATGGTCACCCGCTGTCCCTGAAAGTTAACAAAGAATGACCTTGAATTAGCTGCTGGCCTCTTCCACTCCCTGGTGCAGGTGGCTCTGTGTTAGCCACGGAGAAGGATGCCATTTGTCCCTCCTCCTTCAGGTGGGGGTGGGGGAGGAGGCACTCACGTGCAATTTCTGGAAAGTTCTACAGGAACTTCGGGGAGACATCTGCCTCTCCAGCGCCAGCCTTGGCTGCAGCTGGCTTCTGAGGCATTCAGGGTCTCGCTCTGCCCACCGGAGGGCCGTGCGTGTGCGCCGCCCGGAGCAGCCCCGTCCCCTGGACTGAGCAGACCCCGACCCGCGGGATCTTCCCAAGGACGCTGCCAGGAACGCTCACCACCCGCATTACAGACAGAGACACAGACGGGACCTGCCCCCGGTCACACTTCTAGGAAGCTGGCGGCAGGAAATGCAAAGCCAGGCGCCTGCTTCTAGAATCTGTGCGAACGTCCGCCCCACAGCGCCACTCCGCGAGCCCATCTGCGAGACGCAAGGCCGAGGCCCAACCCCAGGGAGCTTCTGTTGTCCCTGCCTCCTGCACCGCGCCCTGCCCGACCCCGGCCACCCTACCTCGGGGTTCTCCTGGCTCGGGGGCCGGTCTTCCTTCTTCTTTTTGGTGGCCTGAGCTCCCTGAGATGGCTCCTCCGTGGGCGGCCGCGTCTCTGCCGTGCTCTCGGGCTGCGTCTGCACTTGAGGCTGGATGATGATGACCTGGAAGTGGCGGGGGAGGGGTGAGGGGTGAGGGGGGAGAACTGGGGAGGGAGAGGGGCCTTGGAAGGCGGGATCACGGCGGCGGAGGAGGCTCTCGGGCCCAGGGGGCGCCTGCCCCCAGGGTGTGCGCCTCCAGCCTGCCCTCCACACCGGGAGGAGGGTCTGCGTGAGGCCGGGCCTGGTTTAGGAACCAGTAGGGCCTGGGTTCAGGCCTCCGCTGGCATGTCGCATGTTGCGGCTGTGTGGCCTCGGGGCGGTCACTTTGCTTCTCTGAGCCTCAGCTTCCTCGCAATAAACACCCACCTCCAGGGAGGCGGTGGAGACCCGGGCAGCAGAGACTCAAGAAAGGTTGGTTTCTTTACCCCTACCTCAAACGCAGGTAAACGGAGGCCAGGAGGGCTCAGATTTGCCGCCTGAGGTCATCAGGGGTCTATCTGTCTGCAGGGCCCAGCCTGCCCACTCCCCAGCATGCCCCTGGGCCCCCGGGCCACTGTGTCTGAGGCTCTCACATCTGGCCTCAGCGGGGTGGGGGCGAGAAGGGGGAGGTAGACTCCAGACCCAGCTCAGTATCGCCCAGAGCGGCCCCACTCCAGCCAGCTTCCATCAGGGTTCAGGGTAACCGTGTGGTTTGATCAAAGGGTCTGCGGCTGAAAAGTCAGAAAGAGATTCGTGCAGCCCAGCCTCTCCCTCCCTCCATCTGTGGCTCAACTATTTTATTAATTGTTTTGGGCAGGGAACTGGCAAAGGATCGCTATCTTGCACGGATCCGAGGGAAGGAAATCACCAGGAGCAGCCAGCCAGGGTCTGACCCAAGCCAGGAAGAACCTGAACTTGTATTTCTCCCCCTGAGAACATGACTGTCTCGTGAATTTGGAGCTCCTGAGCACGAAGAGAAAACGCATTCTGTTTTTCGGCTGGCTCGAGGAGAGGTTCTTTGTTCTCCTTTGTATCACAATTTTAAAACCCCAGAATTCTCGGGATGGGAAAAAAAAAAAAAGGTCCCTCTTTATATTCGTGGGAAGAAAAACGTTAAGATCCCCAGTAGAAAACAGGGCAAAAAATATCCTCAAGCGAGTCACGTTGAAGGAGACAGGATTCTTGAAAAGTATAAGAGGAAACATTCGAGCTTCCTAACAACCAAAGGAATTCAACTTTGAACAGCGAGCATCTGTTCGCACCGATTAAACAGCAAAAAGCGTTTAAAGTGGCAACACGGAATGCTGCTGAGGTTGCAGTGAAAAGGGCACTCATCCCACAAACGCCTGCTGAGCTCCCCCCTCGTGACCGGCCGTGGTCCTGAGGGCCACGTCTCCCCCACCTGACCACGGCTTGTCCTAACCGAGGATCCCCCGGGCTACCGTCCGCGGGTGGCAGGGCCCAGAATGACAATACTCCCAGAAATACACCGTGTGCAGCCACGTAAAGGAGCAGGAAAGCGGGCCGCCAGCTCCCAGGCTGGGAATTAGGAGGGACGCTGGCCATCAGCAAGACAGGGGCCTTGTGGCAGATCCCGAACTGGGGACAGAGGACAAGGGGCCACCGAGAAGAAGCGGTGCCTTTCACGCAGCCCCAGAGGCCTCGAGCCGCACAAGCACCAAGGAGTTCGGAGAGGGACACAGAGAGGATCTGAGTTTCGGTTTGCAATCTTGCCAAGACATCACGGGTTTTCCTTCCGGGCACCTGGTGTCCCCGAAGGTCCTTGGGTACCCAACGACACCGGCCAGAGACCCATCGTCACCAGCTCCGGCCTCCTCCGGGCACAGACCTCACTGCCCAGTTAATGACTCCCGTGAATGAAGTCGCTCATTCACTGCCCAATCATCGTTTTTCCACAGATACAGATGCATTCGGCCATGCGTTTCGGCCACACACCCGCCCGTCCGTGCCGCCCCGTTCACGTGTGGAGCCGTTCCCCTTCGTGCCTCGTTCCCACCACCATCCCTTCCGCCACCGACTCCCTCCCTCCCTCGCTGGGTCGTTCCTTCGTGCCCCAGGCGCTCGAGCACTGACCCCTCTCCTGACGGCTCATTCGCGCCTCTGTTCACGCCCGCTTGGTTCACCGGGCCCTCGGGTGGTCACTCCAGCAGCCACCCGCCCATGGGCCTCCCGCGCCTGCGGGCACAACACACCCACCTTCTTGTCGGCACTGATGAGGAGGGGCTGGACCATGACGCTGTCGCTGACCACAGACACGGCGGTGCTGGGGGCGATGGCGGTGGCATTGCTGGGGGCGGTGGAGATGATGGCGTAGGCCACCCCGGCGCCGCTCAGGGGGGAGGTGATGGCCGAGGACTCGGCGAGGGCCTGGGGCTGGCTGCTGGGCGTTGGCACATGGCTCACGGTGTTGTTGGCGGTGGGGAGGGCCGGGCTGGGGTTCTTGACGCTGACCACGGTGGCCTTCTGGAACGTGGGGGGCTGCTTGGGGGGCCGGTCCCGGCCTGGGGTGACGGGGAGGCTGTCTGGAATCAGAGTCTTTGGCCTAACCTGGGGAGGGAGGGAAGGACAGTCGCACGGTGGGGCAGACACACGGGCAGGCGGGGTGACGACAGACGCGGAGGAGGGGCGGGCCCCGAACACAGCCGGGACTCGGGAAGGGAGGGGCCCGGGCACGGACGCGGCCGGGCTCAGAGGCCTCCCGGGTGAGAGGCGAGGGGACAGCAGTGGAGAGGCCGCGGGGCCCAGCTCCGGACCCAAGCCCCTTCCGGCTCAACCCAAAACGGTGACGAGCAGGAGGGCGATGGGAAAGCTGCACGTGGGCCAGTCGGGTGCCCTCTGGCTCCAGCCGCAAAGCCGCGAGCTCTCCCGGAAGACAGAAGTCCACACGGCGCTGTCATTGCGGGGGGGGGGGGGAGGGGGACTGGGAGGGGCCACCGGGGGCTCCCGGCCCCGCTCAGTCTGCTTCGTGATCGGGGTGGGGGCTGCCGCCGTGTCCCCTGCGGAAGCCACCGGGCCGGGAGCCACATCGCGCTCTGCAAGGCCCACGCACGCGGAGTGAAAGCAGGTGCAGGCAGCCACGACGTGGTTCCGGCCAGCGCTCTGGACGGCTCGTCCGGGGCCAGCCCTGCCCCTCCGGGACCCGTGTGGTGCCGGACACGCGCCTCATCCGTGCGCTGGGGGTGGGGAGAAGGCACAAGGTGTGCGTCCTGTCAGCTGTCGCCAGCTCCCCTGCTTTCCTGTGACCAGAAACGAGCCTCACGCCAACCCCGTGACATCTGCCCTAGGGCCACCTTCTTAGGGACAAGGAGGCGGAAGAGGGCCTGCCTTGTCTTACCTTACCGGCCCCCCCCCCCCCCCCGTGACAGCGTTGTGAAGCAGGTACGTTGGCCTATCCTACAGATGAGCAAATGGAGGCCTGGAGAGGAAGGGGCTTCCCCAGGGAGAAGAACAAGGCTCCAGCCGTCGTTAGGGCAGAGGGACGTGCACGCGGGACCTCCACGAGCCTGCCAGGTGTTGGCGTGGGCTGGTGGCGGGCTGGGTTGGCTCCACCCATGCCCTCGTGGAGGGAGGGGTTCGGGGTGGCTCCCACAGGGCTCCGGGACCTTGAGCAGGTCACCTCGGTGCGGCGTGCCCCTCAGTCAAGCTGGCGTCTCGTCCACCTGCTCCTCGCCAGGGCCCGCCAGGGAGCTGGCCTCCCTTCTAGTGCCCTGCCCTTCCCCCGCCAGCTGGGCCCTCCTGCCATCGGGGCACTCCCCTAGGCGCGTGATCCTGTCCTGCTGCATCCTTGGCACACGGGGTCAGGATCAGAGCCTGGCACAAACACCGATTCCGAACGTGAGAACCTCGGGAAGTTTCCTTCTTCTGGTCCTCGCCCGCCTTGGGCCAGCCTGGGGACCCGCCGTCCTCTTGGGGTGGGGGGTGGACCGGGTGGGCGGCGGTTGGGGCTGGGGGCGGGGGGCCTCCCAGCTGCGATGTCCGTTCAGGTCAAGTGAGGCCGTTCTGGGCCGCCGGTTCCTCCCAGGTCACTCCGAGTTTGGTCCACACTGGCCAACTCACAACACATAATCCCAACTCCAGACGGGGGGGCGAGCCGTGCCCAGGCTGCAGGGGCTGGGCCTCCAAGCCCGAGAACACGGATGCGGGGGACCCCAGAGCTCATGACTTGCGGGAGCCGTCCTCCCCTCTGGGGCCAGCAGCCCTGGCGGGCCACCGGGCACACAACACTCGCTCAACACAGCCGAGCACCGGTGAACCGCTAGCCTGCACCTGCTCCGTACCAGGACGCCTCTGTGCCGTCCGATTCATCCCCCCGGCCACCAAGGAGCCACCTGCACCAGCCCCTTTGCAGCACAGGAGATTCGGTCCAGGAGGGTCGAGAGGCCAGGCGACTTGTCCAAAGTGCGGAGCCCAGGCACGGACTAGCCGAGCACCTCGCTGCCTCCCCGAATGAATCATCTTGGGCAGAGTTTCTAGCGCTGCTTTAACTGTGACCTCGCGACCCGGTCCCGACGCAAGGGATTCGAGAAACAATGCCTTTGGTGCATCTTGCTACGTTCTGTCCTATTCTAGTCCAGCCTCGTTGATTCCGTGAAAACAGAAAAAGTCCTGGTCACGACCCACTAAAAGGATTCTGCAATTCCTCACTGTCGACACTGCGTCTACTCGGAACGTCCGTCTCCTCCTCTCACAGGCAGGAGAGGCAGGGGAGGGAAGGGACGGGAGCACGTCCTCGGCGCCAGAGGGGCTGGGGACAGACAGACTCTCCGGGGCCCACCTGCGAGCTGCTTACCTGAGGTAGCACGGCCGCTCCTTGTCCGGCCAACCTCTGCAAGGAGCTGACCTGAGGACCCGTGACAGGCACTGCAGTGATGGCTCCCAAAGCCTGCAAGACAGGAGGGGGCGCTGAGCCAGGACCACGGGGACACGGCGCTGAGACCACGAGGCCCACCCGGCGGGTGCGTGGCTCCCGCCGGGCTGGCCGAGCAGGGGGCAGCAAACCCCGCCCTTCCCTTCCTTCATCAGGACTTTACGATCACCGAGGTAACTTGATCATGTAAGAAATTCTGGAAACTAGGAGCGCCTGGGTGGCTCAGTCGGTTAAATGTCCGACTTCGGCTCAGGTCACGATCTCGCGGTTCGTGAGTTCAAGCCCCGCGTCAGGCTCTGTGCTGACGGCTCGGAGCCTGGAGCCTGGTTCACATTCTGTGTCTCCCTCTCTCTCTGACCCTCCCCCGTTCATGCTCTGTCTCTGTCTCTCTCTCAAAAATAAATAAACGTTAAAAAAAAATTAAAAAAAAAAAAAAAAAGAAAAGAAATTCTGGAAACTAGAGCGAGAAAGGACAGCATCATCCAGAAAATAATTAGCCCTGAGGCACCTCAGCTTTTTCCCTTTTTTAATGTTACTTATTTATTTTGAGAGAGAGAGAGAGAGAGAGAGAGAGAGAGAGAGGGAGGGGCAGAGAGAGAGCTAGAGAGAGAGAGAAAATCCCAAACAGGCTCCCAGCTGTCAGCACATAGCCCGACACGGGGCTCGACCCCACGACCCTGGGATCATGACCCGAGCTGAAATTAAGTGTCAGATGCTTAACCGTCTGCAACACCCAGGTGCCTCGACTTCTTAATCATTTATTTATTTATTTATTTATTTATTTATTTATTATCTACTTATTTTGGGGGGGGCAAGTGAGCGTGGGGCAGAGAGGGGGAGAGAGAGAGAGAAGAAGGCTGGAGCTCACCCAATGTGAGGCCCCAACTTATTTATTTATTTTGGGGGCGGGGGATGCAAGTGCGTGAGGGGCAAAGAGAAAAGGAGAGAGAGAGAGAGAGAGAGAGAGAGAATCCCACAGCGGGGGCACAGAGGGAGAGAAAGGGAGGGAGAGAGAAGCAGGTCTCACCCGAAGCAGGGCTCGTGCTCACCCGACTGGGGGCTGGAACTCATGCACCTGAGCCAAAGTCTGAGGTTTAACCGACCGAGCCACCCACACCCCCCCCAACTTGCTTTTTTAAAAGTAAGGTTTTTCACATGGATACCTGTACACTAAAAACCAAGAAAAATGAACTTGAATCCATACGTGGCGCAATATTTTAAAAACCAGAGCAAAATGAAGCAGAGCCTAAATGTAAAGCCTAGAAATACAAAGCATCTAGAAAAAAAACCGCAGGAGAAAATCTTTGGGACCCTCGGGTAGGCAAAGAGTCATACGTTTAACACCAAAAGCATGATCCATATGAGAATGAATTAGTAAACTGGGCTACGAAAAGAATTTAAGAACTCCTGAAGCTTACCTGTGAAGAGAGTAGAAAGCCCCAGACTGGGAAAAACACACTTAAAAGTTGGCTGATAAAAGACTGGTGTCCAGACTTCGACTAACTCTTGAGGGGCGCCTGGGTGGCTCGGTCAGTTGAGCGTCTGACTTCAGCTCAGGTCACGATCTCCCGGTTCGTGGGTTCGAGCCCCGTGTCGGGCTCTGTGCTGACAGATCAGAGCCTGGAGCTGCTTCGGATTCTGTGTCTCCCTCTCTCCCTCTCTCTCTCTCCCTCCCCCCTCCCCGGCTCACTCTGTCTCCGAAGAATAAACAAACATTAAAAAAACCCAAAAAACTCTGGAAACACGCTAATCCGAAAACGTGATGAAAACAATGAACACAAGATCCGAACGGATACTTCACTAAAGACGCGCGGACGGCAAACGAGCCCCCAAGAAGATGCTAGACAGCGTCGGTCATTCGGGAGGTGCTCACTAAAGCCCCAATGAGGCACTCCTCCCGCCTCCTCGGGGACGGACCAGATCGGGACGTGGTGGTGACAGACAGCAGCTGACCCACGGCTCCTGGGAACGTAAGAGGGCACAGTGACCCCAGAAAACAGTCTGCCCGTTTCTCAAAAAGTTAAACACACGTTTACTGCTACGGACTGAATGTGCGTGTCCCCCCAAAATCACATGTTGGGAGTCCAGGCTCTCGATGTGGGGGTGTCAGGAGGTGGGGACTGTGGGAAGTGTTCAGTCAGGAGGGTGGAGCCTTATGAACTCGGTGGGATTAGCGTCGTGTAAAAAGAGCCCCAGAGAGACCGCTAGCCCCTTACCCCATGCGAGCTCTCAGCGAGAAGAGGGCACCCGAACACAGAGGCGCCCCGATCTGGGACTTCCAGACGTCCCGTTTGGGAACGGCCTAAATGCCACCAGACCCGCAGCTGAACAACCTGTGCTGTCTGCACCCAACGGGGCATCGCTCGGCCATCAAAAGGAATGAGCAACTCGTACACGCGGCCGGGACGAACCTCCAAACGTTGGCTGAATGAAGGAGCCGGGCGCCCCCGCCAAAGAGGAAAAGAGGACGTGTCGTACGATGCCATTTATGTAAGATTCCAGAAAGAGCAAACCAATCTCCAAAACGAAGAAGCAGGTCAGATCACGCGGAGATGGGGGGATGGGAGGAAGGGATCACAAAACGCACCGGGAAACGCTTCCAGGTTGTGGGCGGGTTTCTGGTGCTGGTTTCATCTGTCCCCAAATGACACAGCGGAGGGTCTCAGGCCCCACAAGCCCCAGCGCAGCTTCTCCTGACGGAGGGCCGGCTCCTCCCTCCTCTGGAATAGGTCACCTGCCCCAAGTGGGTTCAGGTCGTCCAAGCCGGCTGCCCGCCTCTCGGTGGGGAGCCGCACCCTGCACATTTAACCGGAAATCCACCGTGGACATTGGCCGGAACAGGGCTGGACGCACAACACAGCCAGCATGAAAAACACACGCGGTCTCTTCTCGGGGACGCGTCTCAACCCGTAATGCCGTCTCAGGTCTCTGGCCAGAACAGCTTGGGGAGCAGTGCTAAAATAACGCCCCAGGCGCCCCCCCCAACACCCACATTTTAAGAGTCTGCCCTGCCTTCTGCAAAGGGATGAGTGTGGAAGGTTCTGCCCTCCCCGGCCCAGCCCTGCTGGCGATCCGCACCACCTGTGGGGCCTGCCTCCAGCCGGATATGACCCCCCCACCCCGACCACCCCCATCCGCCCCGCTCCGGCCCAGGCGTGCACAGGTGGAGGCAGGCACGGTGCCCCATCTGATTAGCAAGCTCCCGGGTGATTCTGCCAACCTGGGGACCACAAGCCAAGAGGAAACCGCCCTGTCCCTCTAGCAGGTTCTGCATCAGAGACCCCCACGGGCACCTGGTGTCATCAGGGAGCGAAGCTGTGTGGCCCCCTGGGAGCAGGGATTCCTGCACAGACGGGAGCCGACCGGAAGATCCTGAGGCCGCACAACTTCTGGGCAAATGCACGCCCAGCACCTACAGGAGCCAGGGAACAAGGGGCCAGCCTACTTCCCCTGGGAATCCCCTTCTGGCTAAGACGCCCCCAGACAAGCCCCCGGATGCCACCAGCTCGCAGAACGAACAGCAGTCACCCCCTGGCTCCACCAGCTAAAACCCTGCCTGACTGCAGCCCAGCCCCACGGCGGCCGCTGCCTGGGGCTCGCTCGGGGTGCCTGACCGGGCTTTAAGGAGCACCTCGCAGGGTGTCGGGGTCCCTCTGTGCCGGGGCATCAAGAGGAGACCCAGAGACGGGACCACTCCCGGGTCAAAGCCTGAAGTCCTGGGCTCTTAGGAGAAGTTTGCTACAAACGGGGCTGCTGAGCCGGGTCCCTCCACCTCGCGCTTCTGGGAACGCTGGGTCGCCTCCCAGGACACCAAAGTCACCTGCCACGAGCGTCCACTCCCCGTCTGCGCGGGGCCGGCTTCTGGGCACCCTGCAAGCCTCATCTGTTTGCTCCTTTTCTAAGTTCCGCCCCCAGAGTGCGTTCTTCCATGTCCTTATGAAGCTTTAATTAACAAGCTGAAAAGACATTTTATCTGGCAGGGGCTGACCTTTCTGCTCCACGTCGGAATTTATCGGTACCAGCAGAAACAATCATCTCAGCGGCTATGTCACGAGCACTGGATAGTTTATAGCCACACTTTCGTCAGGATAAATGAGCTCTTTAGGACTACATTTACAGCTCTAAGCATCTTAATAGGGAAAAAAAGGGCCATAAAAGTCAAAGATAACTTCACATTTGTCCTGCATCGGCGGAGTCCCTGGGGCAGCCCGGCTCTGACAGCAGCTGCGTGGGGCCCCCCAGCTCTCGGGGCCCAGTCCCCCCATCTGCCACAGGAACAGAGCCTGCTGCACAGGGCGCGGGCGGGTTGGAGGCAGCGGGCGCCGTGGGGCCGGCTCGCACGGTGAGCGCTGGGCAAAGGGGGAGGGTCGGAGCCGGCCAGCCTGCCGGGAACGGGGGAGGGACGGGACTCGTGGCATCAGCCTGACCAGGTACCCGCGCCGGAGTGGCCCCTGTCTTGTTGGGCAAACCGGGGCACCCCCTGACTCTCAGATGGGGTGTACGGACTTGCCTCTCCCTGCCCCCCAAATCAGAGTAAAATACCCTGGTGCCCAGCAGCGCGAGGAAGAAGAAAAGAAAACCAGACCCACCACCTCTCGGGCTTCCCGCCTGTGTTCCCATCCACCGTGTTTCCTTCTGTGCCCAAGTGCAGACACCAGAGCCTGCTGGGTTTTCAGTAAACCCCCAGCCAGGGCGAGCCACGGGACCAGGCCACGGGGCCACGCCCCTGCCGGGTGGAGGTGCTTTCATCCCGACTTGCTACTCGTGCACTGCGGTGGCCAAGGTTTTTCCCCGTCGTGGCCTCCCTAGACCTCCGGGCACTGCCAGACGCCCCCCGCCCACAGTGACCCCCTTCTCTCCCTCATTCGTTCAGCAAACGTCCCGGAGCACCCACGGGGTATCTGGCTGGCAACGGGGTCCGTGAGCCTCACCGCGGCTGCTCCCACCCCAGCCTCTGACCCGAGGGACCAGAGCCGGTCTCTGCTCCCCCGCGGGGCGGGACAGGAGGGCCCCTC